CCCCCCAAGTGTATTTGGTACATATGTTGTAATTTTAAAATAGGTCTTTGGTTTTTATGTTCTACTGAATTCGGGTTTTTCAGTTTAAAATCCCAAGGAATTTATTTAGTATTTCATCCTTTAGAAGAACTTAAGAAATGGTAACTTTTTGTAAAAATCGGGCCTTCTTCCTATGCTTTCTTTTTCTCTTTCTTTGTGCAATGCTGAGGATTGAACTCAGGACCTTGCCAATGGTAGGCAAAGGCACTATTGAAAGCATGTTCATCTCCAGTTTCTCAGATGCTTTTTCATTTCTTGTAACAAAGGCATAGACAGGTTTATTTAGGAAGATAGATAACACATTCAAGGGAGAATGTGTGCTGTCTCCAGAGTAAGCAGCCTCTCCTATGCTTTTTAGAACAATATTAGTATTTCTTGTTAAAACTGACTATGCTATTTTTTAAAAGATAATCTTATCACACCCACAGGCCCCATGAGAATTGACTTTTCTGTGGGTCCCATAGCATTCTGTGCTTCATTCTGTGCTTTTCTCTATTATAACTCCAGTCACACTACTAATTAATTTATTACTTATTTTTAAAATCTTGAACCAAATGATAAACATTCTGAGGATCAGGTTCTGCCTTCTCTGAGGCAGTAAGGGTTCAGAGCAAGTATTTAGAGGAATTCTGCATAAATTTAAATCTCGGCTCTTATTACTCAATAACTATAGGACCTTATTTAAGTTAACTAACTTGCTTAAGCCTCATCTTTCTCTTAAGAGTGTTATATAAATAGTTACACTTCCTATTGTTGTTGCCAGGATGGAATGAAATGTGTAAAATGTTTAGCCCTGGCTAGTGCATTCCAGGTAAGCATTCAAGTGGAATTGAGCTGCTGCTGTTGATATTGTTCTGTCCACTTGCTCATTTTACTGTCTTTAACAAAATGCCTTAAATACAAAAGGCATTCAGAAATATTTACGAATGCTTTTTTAAAGAAAGTGTGTGTGTGTGTGTGTGTGTGTGTGTGTGTGTACGTACATGTGTGTGTTTTATTAGTGTTTCTTTTTTCTTTTTTTCAGGTTGACACTTGTTGCCTACTGCCCTTGTTAGCTCTTCCTGTCTGTAATAATTTGCAGCTCTTATTTTACAGTGTTCTGAGAAACTCAGTAATCAATTTCTTTGGGATCATATTTAAGGGTAATTGGCTTCCAGTGATTACCTGAGAGCTTTGAGCCGTAGTGCTTATTTAATCCTTTCTGGACCTTATTAATCAGAAGCTTGTATTTGTCTGATTCTTGATACTCAACCATTTCTTCAATAAATAATGTTTAATAATATTCAATAAATAAATGATATTTCATAAGAAATTATTCCTAAAGTAATGGGGGTTACATGTATTAGTTTTCCCATGTTATTTTTAATTGCATCATAATTAACAAAATATTTTTAATAACAGGGATGTAGTGCAACTCTCAGTGTTTGAATTAAGACACAAGATAGCAGAAATGGAAGCCAAACCCAATACTGACAATGAAGGTATATATGTAAATATTTATATATATATATATATCTCTTGTATAATTATTGTTCATTTTACCAAGATACCTATAGTACATTAAATTACATATAATGAATAATAGTACCAAGATTTCAGTATTACTCTCTGGTGGCATTAATAATAATTTATAACAAAAGCTTTAAAACTGATACTTCAGAATGTCAAACCATTACAACATAATTATTCAAAAATGTTATTTCACAAAACTTTTCTTATATGACATCAATATACTGTTTCCTTTGTAAATAACAAAATATCATAAATATTCTGTTCAATTTATGTCACACCCTTTATATATTAACTACTGGATCTTCAGTTTAACTGTAAAATCCTGATCTAGGATTTATCTGTTTGTGTTGGAAGAATTTTTGTGTGTAGGGGTGTGTGTGTGTGTGTGTGTGTGTGTGTGTGTATTATATATATGTACACATACCCACATACACATATCCTTAAAATTTATAATGTATGCCAGACATTTATTAATTCCACAAATAGTAATTGAGATTCATATATCAACACTTTGGAAGACCTTTATTTTCCCTATTTTAAAGAGGTGCAATGACTATTGGGGAGAAAGTGACAAACTAAAATATGATTATGAGAAGTGATATATGTTCTGCAAATAGAGAAACAGGATCTTAGAGAAAGAGAATCTAGCACAATTTTAGTGAAGGTATAAAGACAGCCTTTACAGAGGAAGCAGTGCTTAAACTAAACAAAGTAAGGAGTTTATTAGAATTATGGGGGTGTGCTTTGGTTCTTAAATTCATTTGTACTTCTTTCTTATACTAAGAAGCCATGAACAAAAAGAGATTAGTAGCTAATTGAGAAATAAAATGCTGCTTTCTATGAGAATCTAATACTCTGTTAAAGCTTGCTTGGAGAATACTACACCAAGGCTAAAGTAGCATTATATATCTATCTGTACTTTAGTTATAATTAGCTCTGTGGGGGCAGACTTTGAGTTCACCTACCAAGTAGTTGTATTGGCAAGGGTAATACACTCACCTACCCAGTTAGAGAAAAAACAGAAGACATGCTCACACGTATAGTATGGAGTCCAGTACCTATGCCCAATAATAATATATTGCTCACTAGTCATAATATAAACTGTTCTTATGGAGAGGAAGTAGGATATGGCCACAAAGAGTAGGAAAGCTTTTGTCTAAACTGAAGTCTTAAATGAATAGCAAACCACTTGTCCCTTAATCAAGGCCAGGAACGCTATCAAGTGAGGTGATCCTTTTTTTGTTTGTTTGTTTTGATGAGAATAGCTAGTATTTGTGTAGTGCTCTAAAAGAATTTTCAACTACCCTTTTAAAAAGTATTATTACCCCATTTTATAGATGAGAAAACTGAGATCCTAAATGACTTTCTGAAAAATACAGAGGTAATGAGTGATATTTCTGAAATTTTCAATCCAGGCATGCTAGTGTCAAATTCCACTTAGCCTCCACTTCTTTCTACCTCTTAGGCTTAAATTTGCACCTTGATTTTTTAAGTTTTAGAATTTTTCATCTAGAAAATTGAGCCTTGGTTTACAACTGGGAATAGAAATAGGCCAGGTTTGCCTAGTACATCCATGCTTGTCTAATTTTTTTTTTTTTTTAACTCATTCCGATCAGAAGTTTTGCCTGCTCAACTGTGTAACTATTCTTGTCCAGGTCACCAATGATTTCTAGTTTGCTAACTCCCATGTCAGCTGAGTCATCTTATATGATCTCATCAGCTGATCTCAACTTGTCCTTGAAGCCCTTTGTTCACTTGGCCTTTGGGACACTATACTCTCTTGGTTGTCCTACTTATTAGTCACTTGTCATTTCTTCATTTCTAAAAACTCAAGAATGCCTCAGGGCTCAGTCTCCGTCTTCTGACATTTCTTCAATATATGCTTAGGCTATTTCTGGTCTTCTAGGGTTAAATACCATCATATATTGACAACACACATCCATATCTCCACTTTGGACCTCAAGTCTGATTTCTAACCCCAAGCACCTTTGGCCATTTCATAATATATTAAAAGAGCAAACATTTTTTCAAACTTAGTAAATGCTAAATTTTTTTGTAAAACTCAATTTGTCTTTCATATTTCAAAACAAAGAAAAGAATACTTTTTTCTGGTATAATACTTAATGATGAAAAATTAGAGGGATTTCCATTCCTTGGGGTGGGAGGAAGATGCCTATTGCCATCATTCAAATGTATTAGTGATTTCAAAGTTCTAGTCAAACAATAAAATGTGAAAAAGAAATGAATGATAGCTATTAGGAAGAGATAGACTTTTATGATTTCCATTTTCATAATTTAATATCCAGAATTTTCCAGAGGATCAATTAAAAACTAGTAAATATTTAGAAAATGATTAGATAAAGCCTGATGCAGTGGCATGTGCCAGTAATTCCAGTGGCTTGAGAGGCTGAGGAAGGAAGATCACGGAGTTCAAAGCCACTCTCAGCAACTTAGTGAGGCACTTAGCAACTCGGTGAGAACCCTGACTAAATAAAATATAAAAAAGGGCTGGGGATGTGGCCCCTGGGTTTAATCTCTTATACACCCCCCCAAAATTGTTGGATATAATAATAGAATAAATGTTTATTTTTAAAAAAAAACGTTTCAGCAATAACAAGCTAAAAATATAGTGTTGAAATTACCTCAGTCACAATTTCAACATAGTCCACAAAATATCTGATCATTTCTTTGGCAAGAATTATGCAGAACCTGTATGAAGAGACAACAAAAGACTATGACTATAGAGGAATAATTGTTAAATCAGAATTCTCACCTTATTCTACCTAAGAGATTTCATACCAAACAGAAACCGTAAGGGAAAAAAGAAATTGAAAAAGTTTTCCCCTTAGCCCATGCCTTGTTGAAATTCTAAGCTTTGTTAGTGGGAGACACAAAAAAAGCAAAAAAGGTGGACTGGGGATGCTGCTCAGTGGTGAGTACATGCCTAGTAAGTGTGAGGCCTTGGGTTTGATCCCCAGCACTGCAAAAATAAGAAACAAGAAGTCTTTGTGAACTTTGTTTTAGTTGATGAGCTCAATTTATTTTTATTAGACATATTTCTATTGGAAAGAAAACTAAATTAATAAAAATGTACCACCCATTTATGTGCTCAAACCCTGAGCATCTCAGAATCTCTAGTGGAGTGGGGGAAAATGCTAGGAGTTAGCCTGTAAAAAGAACATTGACTTTAGAATCAGGTGGCCCCTGGCTTTAATATTACAGCTGTGGGACTTAAATGCATAACTTTGAATAAATTACTTAAAACCCTCTTTGTCTCAATTTCCTCACATATAATTGGTGAAAAATATATATAACTTGTAGGGTTGTTTGAAGACTAATATATTGAGTTTATCCTCTTCATTATTTTTTTTTTAAAGAGAGAGTGAGAGAGGCAGAGAGAGAAAGAGAGAGAGAGAATTTTAATATTTATTTTTTATTTATCGGCGGACACAACATCTTTGTTTGTATGTGGTGCTGAGAATCGAACCTGGGCCCCACGCATGCCAGGCGAGCGTGATACCGCTTGAGCCACATCCCCAGCCCTCCTTTTCATTATTTTTAAAAAATATGTTTTAGTTATAACCTTTATTCTATTTACTTACCATTATTTGGTGCTGAGGATCGAACCCACTGCCTCACATGGGCTAGGCAAGCGCTCCACCGCTGAACTACAATCTCAGCCCCTTCATTATTATTATGTTAATAAGGAGGGAAATTTTTTCCTCTATGGGAGGACTAAATATTATAAATGTGTTCATTCTCACCAAATTAACTTACTGGTATCATGTATATCTTATTAAAATACCTAGGTCCCCCCCACCCCCCAACCCCGCAACTTGAAAAATTTAACTTTAAAACTAACTGGATGAATAAATAGGCAGAAATAACTGTGGAAAGAGATACTTAGAAAATAAATTCATTAACACTTAAAATGAATCAACAGAACAGTAAAATTAGTCTTTTCAGAGTCTCATAGACCAAAAATGAGTAGGTTAAACCACAGACATTTATTTTCTGACACTTCTTGTGGCTGGAAGTCAAATCAAGATATTGGCAGGGTTGGTTCCCTTCAAGCACTCTCTCCTTGGCTGGTAGATGGCCACCTACTCTGTATGTGTTCACACATAGTCTTCCCTTTGTGTCTGTAACCTAATCTCCTTTTATAAAAACATCTGTTGTATTGAATTAGGGCTCATGTATGACCTCATTTTGCCTTAATTGCCTCTTAAAAAATCCTGTTTCTAAATACACTTTCTGAGGTACTTGGGTTTATGACTTCAATATATGAATTTGGTGTGCAGGTGATGGAGCAGGGTATGTTGGATGTGAAAGAGTGGTTAGAACACAATCCATCCTGTAACAGGAAAAGAGTCTAGTTTGTTAAAACCATAATGCAATACCATAAAATTTAGGACCAGGTTATTGTTAATTTTGAAAATTGAATCTTTCGAATTAGTCTTTTAGTTACTTTAAAAAAAGTACAAAACCATTTTCATTTATGAATTGGGGGAATAGATTATTACAGACAAAATCTGTACAATACTCTGAAATCAGACCCCAAATAATCAATGCATTATTCTATTCAGGCTCTATAACAAAATACCTTAAGTGGCTTAAATGATAGAAATTAATTTTCTCATAGTTCTTGTGGCTGGGAATTAGTAGATCAAGGTGCTGCCCAGTTCAGTTGATGGTGAGAACTCCTTTCTGATTTGGAGACACCTATCTTCTTACTATGTACTCACATGGCAGAATCAAACAGAGTCAGTTAACTCTCTGGTTTCTCATCTAATAACACTAATCTTACAGAATTAGAGCCTCAGTGTTGTGACCTCATTTAAGCTTTATCACCTCCTCACAGACTCTCTCTCCAAATACATACAGTCAAATTGGAGGACAGAGCTTTAATATGAATTTTGGGGGCAGGCACATAAATACTTAGTCCATAACAATCCTTTAGCATCACTTTCTAAGTACTGTTTTCTCTCTCCCTACCATCAAAAACGAAACAAAATAAAAATGTCAGACTGCCTGCTGCATTTGGGAAAGGGCTTCTGGGTAGAAAACTGGAGCCAAGGAGCCTATTACCAGTGATGTTTTATTGGAATTTAAGGAAACTAAATGAAAAGTGATGAATTATTCAATAAATTCTGTTTGAAAAATTGGTGTAATATTGAGAAAGAAATGCTCATTTAGATCCTCATTCTATATACTTAATGCTAAAAACTTCCAAATGGATTATAAAGTTAATATAAAAAAGAACAAAAAGCATAGATGAGTATCTGTCTCCCCATCTTTATTTCTCTTTCAAATCAGATGTCCTGTGTATTCCATAGCATCCACTTAATTGAAAAATTTCTCAAATGTTCTAGTTAAGTGTGTTTTTTTTTTTATCTTCCTATTTTTATTGCTGAATGATAGCAAGGACAATGTCTATTTTATTTTTGCATCGTTAGTTCCTTGTAGAGTACCATATTAGTCTTTTTCTTTTCCATGATAAAAATATTTCATTTTTCAGTCTTTTCAGATTAAGATAACTTCATTGTTGCCATCATTATAACTGTAGTGATTAGAAAAAAAATGACTGAATTATTAAAACACATGTGGTGTGCTGTGGTTTGAACATGTCTCTCCAAACCCAATGTGATAATACAGAGAAGCTGGGCCTTTAAGAGGGGATGTGGCCATGAGGGCTCCTCTTTTTTTTTTTTAGTGGGATTAAGGCCCTGACCAAAGAGGCTTCACACACTACATTTTGTTAGCTTGCTTGTCTGTCACATGAAGACACAGAACAAGAAACCTTACCAGTGCCTTGATCCTGGACTTCCTTGCTTCCACAACTGTGATAAATAATTTCTGTTCTTTGTAAATGACCCAGTCACAGTGTTATAGCAGCACCAGATGGACCAAACATAGTGCCATTTTTCAACCCCAAACTGTTCTTTTTAATAGTTGAAAAAGTATTATTTGGCATTGTTTTTTTAATGGGACTTATCTGTATTACTAAAAAAGATAAGATCTTAACAGGTAAAGATTGAACTGTTTCATGTTATTTGAATGAATAAATAATAGTTGGTGGGCTAATCTTGATCTCCCCCCACCTCAGGCAGTGAATGGAAAACCCGTTATGAGACACAACTAGAAATGAATGATCAACTAGAAAAGCAAATTGCATCTCTTAAAGAGAAAATGGAAAAATTCCGTGGGAATCCCTCAGGTACAAAAGCAATTATATATATGTATTATAAGTTGAGTTAAAACTGATAAAATATCAATTGTTTATATTTGCTTTATTGTAGACAGTCTATCTTCTATTCGTGTCTATGAACGAATGCCTGTGGTGAGTAAAAGATGGTTAAAAAGAATAACTGTAGGAAAGTATGTATATTTTCCCCCAGACAGATTCTAAACAAAATTTTAAAGATTGTCAACAGGATCCAAATAAAATATTTTGTTCAGGAGAACTGTTCCTTGCATCCAAAGAATCTAGTCACAGGCCATCAGTTTACTCTCCCTGTTGGAAAGCAGAGCATAGATTCTGGTGTAAGTACAGATAAGCAAAATAGAAGAAAAAGAATCTCAGTAGTCAGGCTAGCAGGGAACCTGAGCATGTCTATTCCTTCTAATCAGAAGAAGCCTAATATTTAACACAAAGAATATATCTTCTACATTTCTAAAACATGTCCATTCTAGTTCCTTGTAACATACAAACACATGTACTCACATATACACATCGATGTATTTGTGTACATACATATACATATACACATTACATATGCAAATATATTAAAGAGAGATATCAAATCCATCAGAGAACCCATAAAGTTACCTTATGAGGATCATGAAACCTCAATGGGCTGACTAATCTGCTTTCTTTTCTGGTTGCCTCTTTGGGAGTTAATTTTAATTCATAATAAATTACTTAAGTTTATCTGTTTTGTAAAGTGTTTTACAAAACAGATTCATTGTTTTTTAGTCATTCAAATCTATACTTTAAAATGTACAGAATCCTGAAGCATGACCTTGTTGGATTCAGAGCCTGCTTAGAAATAGCCTTTTCCTCAAAACTCTGAATTATTATTTCAGAAATACTCAGAAAAAAATACTGTGAAAAGCCAAGGGTACATCTATTGAAAATGCAAATGCAATACTCTATGAAATTTGTAGGATTTAACATATCATTATCATCAGCAGCAGCAGCTTTAATTGAACATATAAAGTATGCAAATTAATTTCATTTCCTTTTTTCAGTCTTGCAACAACCCCATGAGGTGAAGTTTAACCTTATTTCCTTTGATGCATGTGATGATAAGCTTAAACAGATGAAAGAATTTGATCAGGCTCACACAGTCTGTAAGTGGAGCCAAATTCTCTCCCTCTATAAAAAGTCTTCATGCATTTACTACACCTTGCTGTAGTGCTTATCAGAAATAACAAAAAAAAAAAGTTTTTTAAAGAGCTATAGGTAGAGTACTAAGTTGATATACAGAGAATGAGAATGAGAGCATTTATGGTTGCTTTTCTTTGAATAACTGTAATTCATTATGAAAGTTACAGGGAAATTCTGCATTTTCAATAATAATGAATTGTGGAGAAATAAGGCTATTTGTTCCTGTTACTTTCAACTCAGAAATGCTCATATTTCTGTGTCTTGGAAGTTCAAGAAAATAACATTTTCTTTTTCTGTTTTTTGTTTTTAATGGAAAAAGTAGCTTTTTTGTTTTTGTCTCCTTCTGCATTATAGTGGAGTTATATCCCCCTCTTGTGGCATTCAGAAATTGCTGCTAGACCATTTTCACTATAGTGCCCTTTCTTAATTGCAGGTAGAATTTCAATAATACCTATAGAATATAAAGTATAAAATACTCCCTACAGAATATAAAATATTCTGGCTACCTGATTTTGATAAGGCAGCCATAGTCCTCAAGAAATAAGTATCAATAGCCTAATATTTGTATAACATGGTAAAGTATTTTATAGTATATTTATTCCTGCTACCTGAGAATGAGATTCTGTAACATATTTATATTGATAAACTAATTTTTCTTGGTGTTATTCTTGAATAAAGTGTGCTTCTCTGTAGACCTAGAAGCAGATAAGTAGTATTTCTCTTCAGAAAAGGACTAGGATATAAAGAACAGCATAAGCCAAGCAGAAAGAGAACTTAAATTCAATATAAATGGAACTGGTCCTTCTATTCTCTGGGCAGATGCCCTACACAAGAATTTAGTTTTTCTTAAACAATTAAGTCCAGGAAGGCTTTTCTGAGCAGGAGGTATTAGGAATATGGCCTACAATTGATGATGGAAGTATCTATTCAACTACTCAGCAAAAAGCACTGGTTTCCAAGAATCCTATATCCAGTAAGAGATCTCTTATTATATAAGAACAAAAAATATATTAAATCGTAATATTCAATATAAAGACCAATATTTGTAAAATTCAGACATGATGTTTATTTATAAACATTTTAAATTCCTTTTAAGTTGATAGAAAAGAAGACATACACTATTTGTTTTTGTGGGACAGTATGGATTTACATTATTTGTAAATTTAATCTTTATTCTCATGGATCATTCCATCTTTAGGACTAACATATACAGACATACTTATAAAATTAATGTAAATTTTCTTGAATACTAATTTTAAGTAACTTCAAACTGTAGGCTTGTTTATGGATGACAAAAGGAATGGATACTAGGGTTTTTTTTTGTGTGTGTGTGTGATTTTGGAGATTGAACCCAGGGTCTTATGCATTCAAGGCAAGCACTCTACCAACTGAACTTTATTCCTAGCCTGGATACTCAATTTTGACGGGCACACATGTAATATTTAAAAATACTATTTGACAAAAATAAATGTTATTTTCAAACTAGATCAATTAAATGGGCTTGATTTTAATATTTTGAAAAATTACTCTCAATTAGTTTAGAGGTTTCATCTAGTTTTATTTTATTGTTTTTTGAATCACTTTTCTCCTCTGAAGGCTTTTCTGAGCAGGTATATTATAGAGTATATTATCTTGAAAATATCTTTCAGTGGTATAGTTATTCACATTTAATTTTAGCACTATGTATCAGTTAAGGATTGCATTAGGCTGTATATGAGAGAAAGCTCTAAGCAAGCACTTTTTTTCTATTTTCCTCCCTCATGTAATAAAAAGGATTAGAGGTTTGCATTTATTGGTGCAATGACTCTATAAAGCCCTCAGGAATTCAGGCTCCTCCTCATTTTCCACTCATGTGTGAGGGGCTAGAAATACAGTGTTTTGTGTAAGTAGGAAGAAAATAGATACAGGGTATGCAGTTAGTTTTATCTACCATACAAGGTCATTTTATTTTAAAGTTTTTGCATTTATTTAAAGTTTTTGGTATTTCATTTTAAAGTTTTATGTGTTTATTGATATTATTTGAAAGTTAAAGACAAAAATGAAATCATAAAGGCAACAGTGCCTACTATTTATATTTGTTTGGTAATTTTTATATGCATATATTTATTAAAAAGAATAACATAATAAATTAGGAGAAATAAAAGCAAGAATTAAACAGGATTGCACTTAGTTTTGTTTTTTATATTTTAAATATAATTTTAGCCTTACTACACAATTTTGTATTCTATATTAGAGCACCTAAATCAATTACTACTTATGTTTCTTTTTTTAAATCTGATTTGCTATACATGATGGCAGAATGCAATTCATTTTATATTACAAATATAGAGCACAATTTTTCAAGACACTGATTGTACACAAAGTATTTTCACACCATTTGTGTCATATACATGTGCTTAGGGTAATTATGTCTTAACTCATTCCACCATCATTTCTACCCACTTGTCCTCTCCCTTCCCCTCTCTTCCCTTTTCCTTCTCTAAAGTTCCTCCATTCCTCCCATGCTCCCCCCATCAATCGCCATTATGCATCTGCATCCTCATATCAAAAAAGACATTAGGCCTTTGGTTTTGGGGGATTGACTTGCTTTACTTAGCAAAATATTCTCCAACTTCATCCATTTACCTGCAAATGCCATGATTTTATTCTCTTTCAATTCTAAGTAATGTTCCATTGTGTATATATACCACAGTTTTCTTATCCACTCATCTACTGGAGGGCATCTAGGTTGGTTCCATAATTTAGCTATTGTGAATTGTGCTGCTATAATCATTGATATGGCTGTGTCCCTGTGGTATGCTGTTTTTAAGTCCTTTGGGTATAAACCGAGGAGTTGGGATAGCTGTGTTGAATGGTGGTTCCATTCCAAGTTTTCCAAGGAATCTCCATACTGCTTTCCAAATTGGTGACTGCACCAATTTGCAGTCCCACCAGCAATTTATGAGCGTGCCTTTTCCCCCACATCCTTGTCAACACTTAATGTTGTTTGTCTTCATAATAGCTGCCATTCTGACTGGAGTGAGATGATATCTTAGAGTAGTTTTGATTTGCATTTCTCTAATTGCTAGAGATGTTGAAAATTTTTTCATGTTTGTTGATTGATTGTATGTCATCTTTTGAGAAGTGTCTATTTACTCTCTTGGCCCATTTATTGATTGGGTTATTTGTTTTTTTTGGTGTTAAGGTTTTTGGGTATTTTATATATCCTGGAGATTAGTGCTCTATCTGATGTGCTTGTGGTAAAGATTGCTTCCATTCTGTAGGCTCTCTATTCACCTCACTTCTTATTTTGCTGAGAAGAAGCTTTTTAGTTTGAATCTATCCCATTTATTGATTCTTAGTTTTAATTCTTGTACTACAGGAGTTTTATTAAGAAAATTGTGCTAATCTGACATGATGGATACTTGGGCCTATTTTTTTTTCTATTAGGCACAGGGTCTCTGGTTTAATTCCTAGGTCCTTGATCCACTTTGGGTTGAGTTTTGTGCATAGTGGGAGATAGGGGTTTAATTTCATTTTGTTACATGTGGATTTCCAGTTTCCCCAGTACCATTTGCTGAAGAGGCTACCTTTTCTCCAATGTACATTTTTGGTGCCTTTGTCTAAAATAAGATAACTGAAGTTATATGGGTTAGACTCGATGTCCTCTATTCTGTACCATTAGTCTATAGGTCGATTTTGGTGCCAATACCATGCTGTTTTAGTTACTTTTGCTCTGTAGTAAAGTTTTAGGTCTGGAATAGTAATGCCACCAGCTTCATTCTTCTTGCTAAGGATTGCTTTGGGTATTCTGGGTCTCTTATTTTTCTAGGTGAATTTCATGACTGCTTTTTCTATTTCTATAAGGAATGCCATTGGGAATTTGATTGGGAGTGAATCTGTATAGTGCTTTTGGTAGTATGCTCATTGTGAAGTATTAATTCTGCCTATCCAAGAACAAGGTAGCTCTT